CAATGAAAGGTAGATATAGTTTGATGCAATGAAAGGTAGATATACTTTGGAAGAATAGTTTGATGCAATGAAAGGTAGATATAGTTTGGAATAATAGTTTGATGCAATGAAAGGTAGATATAGTTTGGAATAATAGTTTGATGCAATGAAAGGTAGATATAGTTTGGAATAATAGTTTGATGCAATGAAAGGTAGATATAGTTTGGAATAATAGTTTGATGCAATGAACGGTATATATAGTTTAAAATAATAGTTTGATGCAATGAAAGGTATATATAGTTTGATGCAATGAAAGGTAGATATAGTTTAGAGTAATAGTTTGATGCAATGAAAGGTAGATATAGTTTAGAGTAATAGTTTGATGCAATGAAAGGTAGATATAGTTTGATGCAATGAAAGGTAGATATAGTTTGATGCAATGAAAGGTAGATATAGTTTGATGCAATGAAAGGTAGATATAGTTTAGAGTAATAGCATCTATCGTGATACTTGCATCATCACCTGACTAGCAAGGCATCCAATAGGAAGAAGAATAAAACGATAGTTACCGTAGTTACCTTCACGTTGTTGTGTTGGCATGGTGACATTGGACTGCTGAGTGAAAGCTTGAGTTAGCTGTCCATAGGCATTAGGATAGGTTGCTATAGAAACAAAAACAAAACATTTGTCAGCAAGTTTTAGCCATATAAAAATCACATATGGGTAAAAAAAAATCAATTTTGAGTTTTGTAATATTTAAGTTGGTATGATAAATAAATCATATCAACAGTTTTATAATAATATAAAGAAAATTTACTGTTAATATGAGTAGCAAATTCAGTGTCAAAGAAATACTTGTTTATGTGAAATCAACAACATTAAGACATCTTAACTGTACAATAAGAGAAATTTTGAAAAAAATAAGCCACATCACTAGTAACTATGACAACCATAATTCCAATAAAATGACAGGATACATAAATTTAAATTATTATAATGTAACTGACAGCGATACCAGAAATGAAATTACGTAAATACAGTTTATACTTTGTATGACCATAAATTAATAAACTTCCACTAAATTATTTAATAATAAAAAGGGATGCAAACCAAACCAAACCAAACCACAAAGTGACATGCCACAGCACGAGTGGTGATCATTATTTTGGGGGGGACACCTAATCTAAGAGAGAGGTACAACCTATGTGGTTACCCGCGTATTGTTGCATTCCGGTGTAAGCTTGCTGTAATGGATCACCAGTCTGGTTACTGTGTGCTGAAAACAAAGCAAAAAATATTATGAATTAAAATAAAAATGTTAAACCTGGAAAATTACCTTCTGACATTTCTGGTGGTAAGGTAACTCATTCGAGGAACACAGAATTGTACCTCCTGGGATTGAATGGTATGGCCCATTCTGCACCCCTTAGGATTGAATGGTATGACCCATTCCATCTTAGCAAACCTTTTAATTGGTAATAAAGGTTGTAATTCCAATCCCTGAACTAAATCTCTTAATCTACGCAGGACATGCAATTAAGTAATTAGCTACAGTGATACTAAATCAGAACAAGACAACAACTTTGCAGGCTTCTTAGGGTAAAATGTTTTATCATTCACAACCCAGACACAGTATCGTCAATATTCAGATTATTCCACTTCAAATCTACTTAAAGAACTTTGTATTCTGTTCTTTTCTCGATCTAACTGAGTAAATAGGTGGTGTAAACACTGTCACTGACAGCTAAATGGCTTCTATCATCTCAGCAATTCCAACATTTTCATCTAATAGTCATTTGCCAGGCAAGGTGATGAGTCAGTTATTTGAGTCAGTCAGACCAGCTGCAACTTGTGATTGCAATACATTATAGTCTAATGATTGGCAGAATGTAATCATGTGACTGTAGCTCCTCTGAGAGGTTGCAATGCATGATGGGAGGTATGTAATGAACATTCTTTCAGTAAAACGAATATTGCAGTCTGCTTTAAGGAAAAAATCTGAAAAGGAATCGAGGGTAAAAAAGTTTGAATTTACCTAGTGACTCACCAGGATATTGGTGTAAGCCATTGGGGTAGACTGGTTCACCATTTTGTCCATTAGTCTGGGCGGCCATGTTGTAACTAGGAATGGTAGGAGAAGGCATATTGGGAGTAGCACCATTCATTCCGCCCGGAGTTCCAGTACCTAGAATAAATAACAAAAATAACTCAGTATGGTTGCTAGGCAATGTGTTAAATAGTATATAATGCAGAAATGATAACAAAGAATAGAGAAATTAATTTAATGACATTTATGCTTATAATTATCTACTAAATAATTATCTAGCCAAAAAATATGCCAAAGATACAGTGACATAAAAACAAAAGAAATATAGCATCTTCTGTTGAAAGAGCACCAATACAATTTGTACAGTTCAGTCGAATCACTACAAAAGTTTGTAATTTTCATTATTTGCATACTACTAGATAAATTGCTTTTATGTAAATT